TCTGCTCACGCTGCTGCCAGGTCCATACTGATTCATGGCCCCCTGTACCGGCTCCTCATGAACGTGGTTCAGCGGGTTTGCATCACTTAACGGCAAATCGTTGACAAACGCTGGGACGTTCAGTGTTGTGCGCATTAAGCCAGACACCAAAGGGCAGCACAGACCTGTTATTACTCGCTCAAGCATAGCTGAACAAAACCAGTCTCTACCACAAATTGGACCCAGACCTGCCCAGGGTCTCGTAAGTAGATTGCACGGAGGAGTAGAGTTCGTTATTGGAATTAACTGTGAGGGACTTTTAAACCTAGGCCTGTGTATGGCCTTCAATTGAAGCTGCTTCTGCTCCGCCACTCTGCCATTGGACTCTTGATAGTCGTCTCCCCACGCTGCTGCTGGGGGGACTTTTTAACATAGGCCTCTGTATGGCCTTCAATTTTAGCTGCTTACGCTCCGCCACTCTGCCATGGGCCCCTGTACCGCCTCCTCATGCTGCTGCCAGGCCCGTAATCTGCCATGGGCCCCCGTACCGACTCCTCATGCTGCTGCCAGGCCCGTAATCTGTCATGGACCCTTGTACCGCCTCCCCATGCTGCTGCCAGGTCCAGAGTGTGTCATGGGTCCCTGTACGGCCTCCCATTGCTGCTGTCTCCATCGCCACACTCTGCCATGTGCCACTTTCAGGTCTCCTCACACTGCTGGTGGGTTCCATTTTGTCATAGGGTGCTGTATGGCCTCCCATTGCTGCTGCCTCCACCGCCACACTGTGGCTCCACACTCTGGTTTTGGCCCCGTGACTGGTTGTCAAGCGGTTCCTAAAATCCACCATCCCACTGCAAGACATCCTTAAAATGTCACGTAAACTTTGCATGCATTTTCAGCCATTCCTACACCGCAAAGCACACCCTTCTTGAGCTGCAGCGGCAGAACGGAATTCCACAGCATCGCCTGATCTGCGACGTTGCAACAAGGTGGAATTCAACCCTACACATGTTAGACCGCCTTTACGAACAGCGAAAGGCCATCACCGATTTCCTGATGTTACAAGCGGATAGAGGTACTCCCCTGTGTAACTTAGATGTCAGCCATTGGCAGCTCATGCGTGACACCTGCCGCTTGCTCAGGCCCTTTGAGGAGGCCACGCTATTCGTGAGTCGGCAGGACTATGGGATGAACGACGTCATTCCTCTGTTGCACGTCCTGGAACAAATGCTGTTAACAATGGCTGGTCAGGGTGCGGTAGACGTGGCGCACAGATCTCAACGCCACATGACCCCTGTGGGGGCAGGACAGGAAGAAGAGGAGGAGGTAGAGGAGGACATTAGTGCTCAGGAATTATTGAGTGAAATGGGTGGTTTTTCCACTCAGCGGACAGGAGTGGAGGAGCAGGAGCATCTGGTAGAGGAGGAGGAGGAGACAGAGGACCCAGACGCACCGTGGCAGTATGCTGTGGAGATGGAGGCAGGGAGTCCCTCGCATTCCTTGGCACAAATGGCCCACAATGTCTCCTCACACTGCTGGTGGGTTCCATTTTGTCATAGAGTGCTGTATGGCCTCCCATTGCTGCTGCCTCCACCGCCACACTGTGGCTCCACACTCTGGTTTTGGCCCCGTGACTGCCCAAATGAGTGAAGTGTGCGGTGATTCTAAGATCGACGGCACTCATCTGCATGTCATACTGACTGACAGTATTATTTCTCTTCCCCAGCAGACTCCAAGGGCATTTAAATTAAAGGTACAGTGTTCTGCACTTATATAAAGGCTCTCTGAAGCCTAGAAACACCCTTTTTATAAGTTAAATTCGCAGCGAATATATTCGGCTCGAAGCGAATTTATTCAGCGAATTCGGCGAATCAGCCGAACCAAATTTTTTTGAATAATTCGCTCATCTCTAGTGTCTATCATACATTTACTAGTTGTAATTAAATATTGTTACTCCATATCTCAGAGAATGTTCCCAGAGTGTTTTAATTTTCAACCTTGGTCTTACCATTCCTATCATTCAGATTACTAATAATAAATTGAATGTGTATATTTGTATTTTCACAGCAATAAAGGAGACAGTAGAGAGTAGAGAATTCAATACAAGAGGGTTCAGATGGCCCTGATCATTTAAATGTACAATTCAGAAAGGAAATTTCAAATGATACAAAATGTAATAACTATGAGAGATGAGCTGACAGAGAAGAAAACTACAGTAAAGGCAAGACAAGCCTCCCTAAAGAAATTACTTTTCAGGGATCATCTAAAGGCATACAGAGTAGGAGATAGCAGAGCACCACAGATTGGTGTAGGAATTTCAGAGGATGACAGAGGCCCTGGAGAATCCCTGGAGGTGAGCATAGGAGGAGATGACATGGGGGCATGATAGTAGATGGTCTTGTGAGAAGGTGAAGAGGATGGTTTACATCAAGATGTTGTAGCTTGGGGTAAAATTCTGGATGGCTTTGTATATTGTTGTTACAATTTTAAATTTTATTTGTTGGGTGAGCAAAAGCCAGTGGAGAGATTGACAGAAAGGGGTGGTAGACACTTTGGTGGATAATTTTGAATGGTAAACAATATTTAATTTTTTTCTGTGTTAAAATTCCCAGGAAGAAAATCTACTGTCTCTGTTTATTTCTAGACTTTCTCTCACAGAAGGGAGAGGTGTCATAATATTGCAGTAGGAATTTATACTCCTTTACAAGCAGTTCTCTTTTATTTAATATTTGTAATGCTCATATATTCTGATATTTCTGCTAGTTTTTTTCAAATTTGCTGTTAAAATTATGCAACATTTCTCTTGCAGCAGTCATTTTGCATGATAAGACACACAGTCATACAGTTATTACAAGTGGAACTCAAAATCACATCTACCAGTTAACTTTTAGCTGAGGGTTTCTTTTCCTTAAATGAAGACACTCACATTTCACACTCTAGGTGCTTTATCCGGTGTGTTTTCATGGCAACAGACTAGCTTGCTATCCAATCCTCCTAACCCCTATTCATAGAGGCTTCTTCAGGTTGCCTTTTGCTACCCTCTGACGTCACTTATGGTATGCTAGTCCGCTATGAGATATTCCAGCACTGCAGTGCCTCTCCTCACTGTCCACACCCAGATTTTCTTCTGGTGTGTATCACGACTTGCCCATTGTATAGAGCACCATCCTGAGGGTGCACTCACTGATATTGAGTCCAAATTCTTTGGCTGGTATAACAATTTTTCATCATTGCCACTTCTAAGGGTTTAGTAGAGCATAGCTTATGTTCTGTGGGGATTACTATTCCTATCAATAAGCAGACTGTTTTAACCTATGAATTTATATGTTCCTTAATAAACTTTCTACATGCTACTCATTGACTGTGGATTATACCCACTTTATATGCTGAGTTAGCACTTTGGGATAATTTGTGGTCCAATATCATTCCCATTTGGTCAAGTCTTACCATGTGCCTTCTTGTCGAGGAAGTTTACATGTCATCACCCATTACTCCTAGTGGTATGTTCTATCAGCTGGGACTATGTCTTGAAATATTTGCTACACATTGTATCAGTTATGTCATACTTTAGCGCCTGTGTGTGGATTTTTTTTAATTCATACTTGGTATCTATTTGTAGAGTTGTACAATGGTAGACCAGGGGTTACGTTCTTGTGTGAATAATTAATAGTTCACACTTTTGATACAATGTCGTATATGTGTGTGGAGGGCCAATCACGGTTTGCATATTTTAAAAGCAGATCTGTCATTTTTTATTGGGAGTTTCGGTATTATTTTGTTGTTGGTGGGTTTAAACAATGAATAATGTTTTTGTAATCAAATTTAATTTATCTCTTGGATTGTAGTCTCATTTTTCTATCCTGCCTTTGAAATTTTATATGTTGTAGTCATTTGAGAGATGTTCATCACATTTGATTGATAGTACACAAAGTAGTGTATAATATAAAATAAAGATGTAGTTTAATACACTTCATGTTTATGAAAATCTAGCAGCAGCTTTACTCCAGATAGTGAATATAACATTGACCTAGCTGTTTTGTTCCTCTAAAGTAGACAAGACAGTTTGAGACGTACAATTTGATATGAACATTATATATTAATCTAACATTGCAAAAATAAAGTAAATATTGACAGAGGCGAAAGAAGGAATACACTTTTAGGGCTGACTGAGTTAAAGGAACTATGATCAGTGAGGAGATTACAACTATACCCTCTTGTTTATTAATATGCCTGGGGCATGGCTTATAAACCTCAGTATCAAAGAACGGCAGGAGATGCACACTATTTTAGGCTAGTAGCGTTTTTCAAGCTTCAGCATTTAGGAGCAGAAAAAAATAGTTTTTTTTAGAGTTTTTCTGAGTGTTTTTCTAGCAGAAAAAAAAAACACTAAACGCTCCTAAATGCCAATCTACAACCATTTATTTTATTTTATCTTTCACCATCACGGATCTACACTAATCAGAGACTAATCACATATGCACCTGGAAACACCAATTGGGGACGTTCTTATCACATCTATACTTCACCATATGTTTGTAGTGCGTATATTTGCACTTCACCATACGCCATAGTGCGTGTATTGATTTCTGGCACCTTAAATGTTTGCGGATATTATATCTTGTCATCTATTTATGTCACTATAATAGATAAGGTCATTGAACTTGGTCACTTTCATATTTTTAAACCTTTGCGGATATTATAGCTTGTCATCTTATATTATTATCTACCGTATTTTTCGCTCCATAAGACGCACCTGACCATAAGACGCACCTAGGTTTTAGAGGCAGAAAACAGGAAAAAAAAATTCTGAACTAATGGACTGCAGACATAGTACAGGAGATGACCAGAGACTGCGGACACAGTTCAGGGGATGACCAGAGACTGCGGACACAGTACAGGGGATGACCAGAGACTGCGGACACAGTGCAGGGGATGACCAGAGACTGCGGACACAGTGCAGGGGATGACCAGAGACTGCGGACACAGTGCAGGGGATGACCAGAGACTGCGGACACAGTGCAGGGGATGACCAGAGACTGCGGACACAGTGCAGGGGATGACCAGAGACTGCGGACACAGTGCAGGAGATGACCAGAGACTGCGGACACAGTGCAGGAGATGACCAGAGACTGCGGCCACAGTGCAGGAGATGACCAGAGACTGCGGCCACAGTGCAGGAGATGACCAGAGACTGCGGCCACAGTGCAGGGAATGACCAGAGACTGCGGACACAGTGCAGGAGATGACCAGAGACTGCGGACACAGTGCAGGGAATGACCAGAGACTGCGGACACAGTGCAGGAGATGACCAGAGACTGCGGACACAGTGCAGGAGATGACCAGAGACTGCGGACACAGTGCAGGAGATGACCAGAGACTGCGGACACAGTGCAGGGGATGACCAGAGACTGCGGACACAGTACAGGGATGACCAGAGACTGCGGACACAGTACAGGGATGACCAGAGACTGCGGACAGCACAGGGATGACCAGAGACTGTGGATAGTACAGGGGATGACTGCTGACCTTTGGGGAGGGGGGGGAGCAGGTACCTGAATTTGACAGATACCCGCTCCCACTTCCGTGGAGTTGTTCTTTCATCTTACCTGTTCCTCTATCCAGCCGCGCGCTGTCTTCCCGGCTTCTGTAATGGCGCTCGGCATGACAGCCGGGTGCCCAGTGCGCATGAGCGAGAAGCACTTGCGCTTTGTGATTGGTCCGGCGGCTTCTGGGATCTGTCATGTGTCCCAGGTGCCGCCTTACCATTCACAAAAAGCACCGCTTCCTGCGCATGCGCACTTGGCACCCGGCTGTCATGCCCACACTACAGAAGCCGGGAAGACCGCGCCGCTGGATAGAGGAACGGGTAAGATGAAAGAACAACTCCACGGAAGTGGGAGCGGGTATCTGTCAAATTCAGGTACCCGCTCCCCCCCCCCCCAAAGGTCAGCAGTCATCTCTATAAGGTCCCGCTGTAGAGCTGAGCGGCCGGCCCGGTATTCTGACACGGCGGCAGTGGAAATACCGGACCGGCCGCTCCATATTCGCCCCATAAGATGCACTGACATTTTCCCCCCTTTTTTGGGGGAAAAAAAGTGCGTCTTATGGTGCGAAAAATACGGTATTTATGTCACTATAACAGATAAGGTCATTGAACTTGGTCACTTTCATATTTTTAAATTTTGTTATATTGGTATCATATAATTTATCATTTACGATTTTATGTGTTTTATCGTACTTTTAGCACTGCATTAGTTTTATTTTATGCTTTAATATATTGTTTTATTCATTTATATATTTTAATAGAGCTCACTTGAATATTATTACTTCTAAACACTACTAAAACACTACTAAAACTGCTATTACCAGCGTTTTTTTTTTTAGCCAGCGTTTTATTTAGTGTAAAAAAAAAATGGTAGTGTGCATGGAGCCTTAGAAAGATTATATAACATTTACATTTGCACAGCATAATGAAAGAGCCATTCAAATGTCACTAGAAGCTAATAAATAGATTTAAGTAAAGTTGAACAACCATAAGTTACAGCAACTGATGTGTGCACATAGACAAATAGATACATCTGGTTAGTCTTGAATCTGCTCACTTGTACATAA